CACACATTGTCGGAAATATAGAAAAAGAAGTCCTTTGTCTGGGAAAACAATTTCCGCTGCCAAAATATTTCCTCTGACAATGATAATCATGGCACTTCAGTGAGTATAGTACTGTCATTAAATTACCGTCATTAAATGCGAAGTCAGTTTAAAAGGAAGTTTTCCAAAAAACATATTCACGAGATCTTTCCAAAATATATTTTCAACAGATATTTTAAAACCTATTTAAGAGAATGTTAGGAAATTACGCTATAAAATATTTATAGTAAGTATTGGAACAGTGTATTTCGTTAACACCGTGTTGGTAAATGATGTCATATATTAGTAAATGATCCGGCTAATAAACAGTCAGTGGGTCAAAGTATCGAACGACTTTTCTTAGGTTGAGGGTGTTTCTCCATTAAAATTGTTATTATCATTGAGTATTGGTTTCAACCAATTTACGGTTCGATAACCATTCCGATTTCAACATAAGGTCTCGGGCTACGATCGAATAACAACGTTTACATATTAACACGAAGTATCTTACAAAAAAATTACCGTCTTTCAATTAAATTTGTACATTTTATTATTGGCTCAAAATAGATTATAGTGCCAGTTATTTATAAACCTCGTAAACGCATATTATAGTGTCAGTTATTTATAATTAAACCTCATAGATTATAGTGCCAGTTATTTATAAACAAATTCTTCGAAAAACATTTCCAAAGTATAAACACCAGAATACATTTTTTACCCACTAGGGCAAGTAATCAAGTATGATAAACAAATAATTCACTTCCTCCCTCCTCCACTTATTTCTGAAGCGTAGACCAAAATTGAAACGGTAACACCATGTTTCGAGAGTGGTACAAAATGGAGCCATTTTATATCACCGTAATATAGTGGTACATTTAAAATCCCCCCTGAATGTATAGGTAAACATAAAGTTGTTAGGTAAACATAATGTTTTAGGTAAATCACCTAGATGTATAGGTAAACTTAAGGTTTTAGGTAATCATAATGGTATAGGAAAAATATGGAGATTAATTGTAAACGCTTATTTTAGCTAATCATAATGTTTTGGTAGAAACCAATTGTGATTTGTGCTGGAGGAGGTCCTGGAGAACGGAATGAGGTTGGTGGTGGTCATGATCCTTTGGAATGCGTAATTAAATATAAGAATCGCTACAAAAATGCCCTGGTATTGCGTTTAACTTGCGTATGTGTGTTTGTCTCTTTATTCGTGGAATAATAATATGTGTGTGACTAATATAGTGCTTGTACTGTTTTCCTTGTGCGTAGCCTCTTCCTAGAAGTTGGAAGTCTGTTGCGGCTGGTTTTTCGGCTCCTGTTCGTGTTCGACGTGGACCGGATGGGCCATCGTGGAGTGTGGGAATGCTGGGTTCTAATCTTAGTGACGGTCGTGGTCTGTTCTTTTATTCTGGTTGGGAGAACTTTGTGGCGGACAATGATGTTGAGCATGGTGATACTCTTAGTGTCCGTTATGTTGGTCAGGGGGTTTTCCAAACTACTGTGTTACCAGATTTTGATGATGGTGATGATGGTAACTAAGATATCATTTGTGTTTTGAAACCTTGTGTCGTTTATGTCTGAAGTAGCTGTTGAATTTCTGATAACATTGCTTTAACTGTATAATTTTGGTATTGTGCTGAATAGAAACAATTTGGTATTGTTCGCTTAATTATGCAGTGTCTTTTGGACAGTTTCTGCGTATTGAATAACAGTGTTGGGATTTTCAACATTATTCTATTGTTAATTATGCAGTGTCTTAAATATACTGCATTTGATTTGTTTTCTTTAGTACGCGGCTATTGCTAGAGTGCTAGGCAAATAAAGCTTATGCCGGGTAACTTACGGTGTACATTTTCATCTTATGTCGGGTGAGAGAGAACAAATGTTTTATATTCAGCATAGGGTCTATATATATATTCATGAGCATTTGCACATTATATATACTTAGAGGAATCATAATCCACCAGTTTGAAAAAGAGAGTTCATTAACACAGATCATATGTACACAAAACCGGTGAGATGACCAACTAGTATTTCATAAAATACGCATATTTCCCTGACGCATTTACAAGTCATACAAGTTACTGTGCTTTCCGCATCCGCGTCATAGTGAAGATCCCACTGGTTTAAGTTCTTCTCGTGCTCTAGTTTATGTTTGCAGAATATCTTCGGCTTTGGCAAATAATGTAAAATCATATGATTGCGCATCATATTATATCTCGCCATATCACGTAACTTCCTTCTACACTGGACTATCCCCACGGATCCGATGCTGTTGATAGTCTTCTTCAAAAGCTTAACACCACGTTCTTCTTCTCCGGTGTATATGTATATCAGGCTTAGTACATATGCTGCCGTCGGATTGTGCAACTCATTTGCTCTTGACAACATCGTCAATCCTTCGTCCAACACCATGGTGTTGAAGTATTGTCGCTACATTAAAGAGAAATAATAAAACACTGACTATAAGTCCGCAACATAAATTCTAACAATTACAATTCGAAAACTACCACTGCTGTTGTGGTGATACATATTATTTAGAAAAAGGATGATAAAATTATACCACTTTAGTATTGGTGGTACATTTGATTTATAAAACTGCCACTTTGGAAAACAAAACCGTTTCACATAGTGAGTAACAGAAATTTACTGATAAACTTCCCAATAATTGAGAAAGGAGACGTACAAATCCAAACTCAAGAAGAGCTTCAGGATGTTCATTCTCCACGCACTTGACGAAGAACTTCTCCGCTGCTTCTTGGTGTGGCGTTAACTGTTGTGCTTTAACCCAGGGGAGGTGAATTTGTTGAATGACCCCCTTTTCTTCGGATATCCGTCGCAAGGTTTTACAACTGTTATCAAGTGATACGGCAGAAATTAGATTATTACATTCGCTGTGTATATGATGAGAACAGAGTACACGTTGCAAGTACAAACCTACCTTAATTTGCACCGAAATAGATCAGCAAGAGATGACTTAGCAACGCAACTTAGAATGGTCGCCAACACTTCTGGCGGAAGGATGTCAACCATAGAGGTTGTAGCGGTATTCGCTTCTACATCCATTTTTTTTTTTTTTTTAGATAGGTAGATCCGAGATCGCTTTGTTCATACAGACGGGAGTGAATTTTTTCCGAACACTGTTTGACATAAAAAAGTAGATTTATCAGTGACGGTTCACCTTCATGCCTGGGATTGGATGTAGCGGACTTGGGAGTTGTGATGATGATGGTTGAAAATATAAATAGTGGGGGAGATTTATAATGTCAGTCTTTGGGAATTAATAGGTAAATTTTTTTTTTTTCAGGGATTTATCAATAATCAATAACTATATACTACGGAGTAAAAGACACACCAGCAATGACACGTGTCGATTTCTGGTGTGTTCTTAGTATATTTTTTTAATAATTAAATACTAAATTTTATTTAATGAAATTATTTTATAAAAAAAAGTTTGATTTTGTCAACTCTATAGATGAGCAATAATAATTACCATTTTTATGTTGACACTCAATATTTCATGTTACTTCAATTTTGTTCAAGATATTAAACAATTTTTTTATTTTATGCTATAAATAAACTAATTTGTCAAAAGTATATAAAATAACGTACCGTTGGTGGCACGGGACCAAACCTAGTTGTTATGTATAGTTATACATTATTGATTGATAAGTATTATAATCATAAATTAGTCCAGAAATAAGTGTGTGATAGGTTGATTTGGTATTTACATTTTTAAATTGTAGCATCTAATACAGAAATGAAACAAAAATTTGGCAAGAAAATCTGAGCATTCTTTTTTGTGTTTGTTTTAAACCAGGTCACAGATTATTTTAAGAATATAAGATTATTTTAAAAAATCTGACCATTTTTGTGACATAAAATATGTACAAAACATAATATTATTTTGGTACATGATTTGTTACCTTAACTAATAGTTTTTTTAAAGGAAAAAAGTCACAATAACACGGCAGAGATGACACGTGCCGTTGCTTGTGTGTCTTTTAGTATAGAGTTACTGATACAAATTCGTTTTGTGCTCCAAGCATTAACCCAAAAATATCAAATGATTCTGGTCATACATTCGAGTAACTAAACGTATTAGAATTAGTTAACTATATTTCTTGTCAGCCGAAATGTCCATCAAAATCGTTTTTTCTAAACTCTGATCAGATGGCAATGAACAGCTACAAAAAGGAAATGGATTGTTAATAACCAGGGTGGAAAATTGCCACCGTCGTAAAATAACGTTTACATCACCCACCCACCCAACTTACTAGAAATAATTTCTAGTGAAGTTACTAATTAATAAGTAGTACACTACAAACTTAGTGATTTGTAATTTAGGATTTTGGATATTTACGATCACCGTAGAGCATTGTTAAAAACCTTCGACGGCAATGAGCGGGTTCATTCAACACCTACATGTACCAACAGTATAGTTTTCTAAGTGACTAAATATTAGTCATTCAATTTTGACTTATAATCGAAGAAGGTTGTTAAACTTTTTTGCCAATCAAACGTGTCAAGATTGCGGTACGCCTTGTTATGTGATCCAGGGTACCACTAAGACAACAGCTGTACCCTCATAATTAAAATACAATTGAAAATCCTGAATGAACAATTGTAAAAGAAAGTAAATTACAAACAACCAGGGTGGTACAAATACTAGAGTCGTAGGAGAACGTTTACATCACCTAACTAGTGTGGAACAAGTACTAGGGTGGTACAGATATGCGTCGCACACGACCGGTGAGTCGGCTTTGCAGTAGAAAATAAAATACGCTTATCTCCCTAAGGCATTTACAAGTCATACAGGTTATTGTACTTTCCGAATCCTCGTCATAAAGGCGATCCCATGGGTTTAAGTTCTTCTCGTGCTGTAATTTTTGTTTGCAGAATATGTTCGGCTTTGGATCATAATGTAAAATCATATGATTGCGCATCCAATTATCACTCGCCAACTCACATAACCTATGTCTGCACTAGACTATCCCTCCAGATCCGATGCGGTTGATAGTCTTCTCCAAAAGGCTTACACCACTTTCTTCTTGTCCAGTGTATATGTATATGAGGCTTAGTACATAGTCTGCCATCGAATTGTGCAACTCAGTTGCTCTTACCAACGTCGTCAGTCCATCGTTGACCAATAATCCATACTCAAGCAGAGCTTCGGGATGTTCATTCTGCACGCACTTTTTCCAGAACCTATTCGCCTTATTTCGGCTTATACCTGACATCCGTGCTTTAACCCAGGGGAGGTGAATTTGTTGAACGACCCCCTTTTCTTCGGCTATCAATCGTAGGGTTTTACAACTTTTATCAAGTTATACGGCAGAAATTAGATTACTACAGTCTATGTGTATAGGATGAGAAACAGAGAACATAACAGAGTACATTTTCCAAGTATAAGCGTACCTTAATTTGCGCCGAAATAAATCAGCAGGAGATGACCTAGCAACGCAACTTAGAATGTTCGCCAACACATCTGGCGGCAGGATGTCAACAATAGAAGGTGAGAATTTTCTTTTCGCTTCTACATCCATTTTTAATTTTTTACAGAGGGAGATCGCTTTGTTCGAATAGAAGGAAGTTAAGCTTTTTGCAAAAACTGTTTGACATATAAATAGACTTCCACGAGACGGTTTTCCTTCATGCATGGGGTCGGATGTAGTGGGTTGGGAGTTTTGATGATGATGGCGGTTCATTGAATTATTGGGGGATATTCAAATATCCGGCGAGAATTTATTGGAAACTGCCAATCAGAAGTTACCCATGCACATAATAATTAATGGTTCAATTATTAACCGATAAACGTACCAATAATCCAAGATTTGTAGATGGACAGGGTAGGTTATTAATATATCTAACACATCATTCAAACGGAATAATTTGTCCTATGACAAATTATAAAATTCAATGACAAGATCGCAAATATTGAAAAGGGGAAATATTTTGCTCGAACCATTAACATAAAGAATCAAATGATTCTGATGATACATTACACTGATTAAACTTATTACAATTAGTTTACTATATTTCAATTAGAGTTATTAAATTAAATACATCAGATTGTTACATTTTTTGTAAATAAAATGTTTGCATCATGTAAGTAGTCTGCATGGGGAGTGGAAGTGATGGGTTGGGAGAAGTGATAATGATGATGAACAGGTAATAAATGTGAATGTTAAGCACATATATTTAGGAATCCGGCGCGAAAACTCTTGGAAATTTCCATTTCTCACTTACGCATGCATATAATAATTAATGGTACATGTTTACGTTTTTCAATGTACCACTAAGATATGCTTAATCCTTGTGCGAAATTCTATTTGTATTGTAAGAGTAGAATTTGCAATGTTATGTAACTATGGGACAATGAAAACTGAATAATGTCCTAATTGGGACACATAAACCTTTGTTTACTATTCACGTTGTAATCGCAACCCAATCCTGTAACTATAGTTCTCTTCAGTGACATAATAATAATGGTGGTACCAATACCTGGGTCGTACAAGGCCGTCGACATCACCCGACTGGTTATTTGTAACTCAACGTAGGTTGTGACGCCATTTTACCAATTGAAACGAAAAATGTACCACTGTCGTGGACTTTAATGTTTTTAAAACATCACTGGGTATGAACACGACCACACCAATTAAACTAACGTACCACGTTACAAAACTAATTTAACTACGACAATCATAATAACACGAAACTAGTCATCCTCATCATCGTCCTCCTCTTCGTCGTCGTCCTCATCATTTTCATCCTCATCCTCAACAATGCCCTCCTGGTTCTGGTCTCCCATCTCCTCATCACCATTACCATCACGAGCACCACAAACAGCCACAGCAGTACCCATGTCCTCCTCGAAAGTCCTCTGAACAGGTGGCTCATTCCCAACATTAGTGTCAATTCCGGCAATTCCTGGCGATGGACGGCAAGCAACAATTTCACTCTGAACGCGTGCAATACGCTGATCCAAAAGCTGGCTCAAACGGGCCCATAATACCCTCGCTTCTTCCAGCTTTGCCATATGTACTGCTTTAACCTTTTTTGCTTCTTCCAGCTTAGCCGCATGTACTGCTTTAACCTGCTCTGCTTCTTCTACCAATTACTTCCCCTGCCCAGCGAGTTCGGACATCTCTGAGTACAACTTGTCAAGTTGCCCTTCTAATTCAGTCACTTCCCAGTCACTCATGGTAGCTTCTTTGACAACCAAAGACAATAGAAAGGGTCAAACCATGTCTGGAAAGCAGTACATAACATGGGGTTTTTGCACTATCATAACTAATGTGGTACATATACTCTTCATTTGTAGTACCACTATAGTGGTGTAAAAATTGGGCAAAAAGATAAACCAAATCATGGTGTTAAAATTGGGCAAAAGGGACAAAATTGAAATGGTAATTCCATGTTTCTAAAGTGGTATAAAGCAGCACCACTATGATTAAAATAGTACAATTTCATGTACCATCCACAACAGTGCCGTTGCGTGACAGTGGTACAAAAAACCCCAACATAAATTGTAACAATCCATAAACACAAATAATTGGTTAAAGTTTTGGGCAAAAAGGAAAACACTACAATTCACATCAACTGGGTTTAATCCGAACTAAGAGGTACAAAAATCCCACACAGAAAAGTGGGAAAAAGGGATAAGCAAATAATTCTCATCCCCTTTCCCACCCCACCCGATTGTTGTCGTAATAAAGCCGGAAACACTCACCCCATTAATGGCGACATGAGGAAAAAGAACACAAAAAGCAGGAAACAATCACACCATTTATGGCGATATTACGAAAAAAAAAACACAAATCCATGAAAATACCTGACACAACGGAAAGATTAAGAAAAACGACACAAAAACAACGGAACATTAAAGATATAAACAAAACCATGAAAAGGTAAAATACCCCAGAAAACACGAAGGGCGAAAAATATAACAAGAATACAGTGTTACAGTGTGGAGAGTGGAGATCCAAAGAAAAAACAGGGAACATAAGTAAAGAGTCTGACGCCAGTACACGACGAATTAAATTGGAACATACCTTGTAGCAGAATTCAATTGGCGATTTTTTTTTTTTGGTCGAATAATTTTTTTTTTTATTTTTTTAAGTTTCTAAGAAGGTTTTGAAGAGGAATGAACAGGTGTTTTTACCGATAGGACGAAATATGGAAGTTACGTGAAGGCGGTGGTGATGAACTATGGAATTAATCGTTCCAATTCTCGAGGGTTGGTAATTATGGCATTTCATTTTACAATTTTAACTATCCTATTTTCTCGTTGGTTTTAACCTTTTTACTGTTTTGTTTGTGGTAGTCATGTGTAATCCCCGGAAGTGCTTAACTGCTGTTTGCAACACATTGTGCTAATTCATACAACAAATGTCATAATTAAAATCTAATTAGAACAATCATTGTTCAAGTTCAAAGAGGTAGGATGAGAATGAAAATTGCAATTAAACATTACATCGGGAATCATAATCAAAGTCATAATTAAACATACGACTAGGATCACTAGGGTTGTTACCAAAGGGGATTCAGTTGATTTTGGTTCCACAGACACATGACATTAGGCTTCCTCATGCCCTATTTGTTTGTGAAGCAAAATACTTCGTCGCCATTCCTCATGGCCGCACCCCAAACATCCATAACTGGCGTAACCTTTTTGTTCTCGTGAAACATAAAAATTTTGTTAGGACTCACACGCACCTCGTCACTCCAAGCTCGAAACAGGCCGTCCAGAGACTCATCCAACATGACTAGTACTTTCTTCTTCACCGAACGTGTTCGCGGCTCTCGGAGATAGACTAGCTTCTTACGAACATCCATGTTGGCCTCGGGTACCTACGTGTAAACAAAATTAAGAAACGCAATTTAAATAAGTTTGAACCACATACTTATACCATTATTATACAAATTTATCGAACCACAACTCAACAACATCAATCACTATAATTATACGATACATAACTGTAATTTTATGAATTACCAAGAAGAATTTAGCCGACATAAAAGATTATGTAATAAGGAAATTAACACATATTAACATCAGTTTAATATAACGACATTAAATGTTAACTTTGAAATACACTAGAGTGCAAAAATAGCTGGACCTGCCATCAACACCCCCATCACCTACCTAATTAATAGCCTAAGTAAGAGCCTAATAAACCAACCAATTTAACAAGTATAATTAAGAGTAATTAGTTTAACATGTGAGAATCGCTTTTGCTTCTTGCAGTGGTAGTTTCGTAAATAGAATGTACCACTTTGATAATGCTGGTACATTTTGACATGTTAAATGGATGATAAAAGTAAATCACTGTAGTCAAGGTGGCACATTTTATTTAGAACAGAGCTAGTCCAAACTACAGTAAATCACTACAGTTTTGCCACCTTAACAGCAACTTCAATTAAACCACAATAAAAATTACATAACAACCGCACTTTAACGAAATACTAAATTTTCAGAACATGACATTAAATTTTATCTTCATTTTACGAAAGGAAAAGGAACCGAACCTGGCTCCAAACCCACAGGACAGCCCCGTTCACAATCCCGGCCAACATTGGATTGTTATGCCAGGGAACGATGTCGTGAGCATTCCTGATAGTAATGTCTTCCGGGTGAGAGTCTACCCACCTAGCGTAGTCATAGTAAATTATCTTGAATGATTCATTGATCGTGAGTTTATACTCGAGGCCGGGGTCGTCGTCATTTAGGCTTCGAACCCTGAACGAGATCTTTGGAAAGAAGTTGCCGGGATTTGGAGGGGCAACCCTTGCTTGCTTAGCTACAGCCCCTCGGTTGGCAGCAGGCTGTACGGGCACTGGCTTAGCAGTGGCAGGTGCCATGACAACCACAGCATCAACATCATCATTTTCTATCTGAACGGGGTCGTCTCCTGGTATGTTAATCACTTGCTGAGGAGCAACACCTCTAGAGGCATTCATTGTCTGGGTCTGGTGTGTATCCTCAGAAACAATCTGGGGTAGTTTAGCAGCACGTCCTGCTTGTGTCGTTAGGTCAAGTACAGGATCTTCGATGATCGAAGCAACAAATCGTCGAGACTGACACACTCTACGGCCGGCTTTTCGCCCGCCGACCCTCACGCCACTAGCTACGACCTGCTCCAACGGGCTGTGACGGCCTGACATAGCCTTCCTTTTCCTAAGCGGTGGACAAGATTTGGAATGGACCGGACCGCGGTAAGGGTTTAGGTTTGAAGGGATGTAGGAACTCATATTGGTTGAATAACTGTGTATTGGTGGTAGCGGGTTCCAAGTTCTTTGCCAATTCTGTTTCGCTCGTTTCACTTTCACTGATAGGAATAAGAATATAGTCCTTGTGGGTGTGATATATAATTACTAGTAGATTAGGTCCCGCATGCACGGTAACTTTCAATAAATACTCTATAATTATTAACATTATATTTAATTAAAAAAAAAACTATTTAAGTTACTACTTTGTAAAATGAATTAATTATGAAAGAGTCTATTATTAGCAAAATATATAATTTAAAATACACATATATGT